CGATATTGAAACAATTATCCTACAGCTTTAAATCGTGCAAGCATATTATTCGCAACAATACATGATCATATAACCTCATGGGCTCAATACATATATTTTGGACAAATTTAATTTATCATTATTTCACTTTATCACTATGGGTTTTTAAGAGGGCAAATGTACCCCGATTTATTTTGTATATTTATAGTGGAGATATTGTATTGTATTTCATGTTGGTTTAGTTTATATTCAACATGAGATGCTGCCAAAATTTTGGTAAATTATGGTGTGATAGCTATCTTTAGAGACTACCAGTAAAGTCTAATCTTTTTGAGGTTCGTTCATTAACCTTTAGCATTATATCATTCAAGGCTAGCTATGAGCTTCGTTTCTTTGAAGAAATTTAGGCTCATCTGTATATTTTCGAGTCAAATCTTAAGTTCTTACCTTTTTGGGACCAGCTCATATTTCAAAGCAGTTCTTAAGTCTTCATATCCAGAGAGTGTATACAAGTATTCACCCATTCATGACCAGCTCAAATTTCGGAGGTACTTGGTAAACTATCACCAAGTTGACAACTTATATTTCAAAGTAGTAGGAATGCAAATCCCCTCCCAACATGACTCACCAAAGCCTCTTCGAGCTTCATCTTTAACGTATTAGGAAAACCATCAAGGAAAAGAAGAAAAAGTGCAAACTGATCGTCATCAAAGTTAAAAAGTCGAAGAGACTCTAGCCTTGTCGAAAGAGACACAAAGGTCGACGTCTGGCAAAGCTCTATTCGAGACCAGCCAAATGTAGAATTGCTCAATGGAGAGGACATTTTCCTACCTATTTAGGTCCGCCAGTATCTTTGAAAGTCTGGGTGCCGGAGCCTAGAAATAGGCCCCAAGATGAAGTTCTTAAGACTAGGTCTCAAAATAAAGCTTTGCCTAGAAATAGGCGAGAGAAGAGCTTCCGAGATGGAGATGAGGGAGCAATCTATGAGCTTCCAACCTTTCTTGTCCCTATCTTGGTATGACGCAAATGAGGATGCTCCCTTAAGATCCTATAAGATAGGCAACGATGATAATCTTCCATTCTCTAAGAAATCAGGTCGGCCTACATCCCACCCAGGTTCGTATTGATGTCCAAGTATGAAGATACTTGCCAAATTTTAAGGAGATACTTGAAGAAGTTAACACCATTAAGTGCGCATCTGCTATTGCTGCTAGAAAATTTCTAGACTACATAGTCAACCAAAAAGGATAGAAATCTTGAGAAGATAAGTCCTTGGTAAAGATGCATTCACCTTGGAAACTAAAAGAGGAATATAATCTCACTGGACAGGTGGTGGCCTTGAATTGTTTCATCTTTAAAGCTACCAATAAATGTCTTTTCTTCTTCAAGATTCTTAAAGGAGAGAAAAGTTCCAATAGACACATGAATTTGAAGAGGCATTCCAAGCACTGAAAAATCATCTCAGTCACGCCTTACCAGCCAGGTGCGGACGCAGACTTTTATGTTGGGGGGCACAATCAAACTTTCAAAAAGTGACGAAAAAATTAAAGTAAGAGTTATTTTATTACAATCGTTCTCTACGTATATTTTGATAACGTTCCATAATTAAAGTGGGAAATAGAGAAAAATTTAATATAATTTTGTAATTCAAATTAACAAAGAAATTGAGTATATAATCTTGGTCATCAAGAACTATACAAACTTTGATAGAATCCAAGTCACAGATTTATATGTACATTTTTTAAATTTTGAAACTTATTTAACAGNACGTATATTAATTGAATTCAACTGGAATGAACTTGCAAAGGAAACTTAAAGGAAATTACAAACTTCCGTCAAGCATTAGAGAGTCCCGACTCGGTTTGAAATGGAGAGAACATTGGTTTGAAATGAATGAAGGTTCCTTTTCCTTTCGGAGGGGGGGCACCTGCACCCCAGGCCACCCCCCAGGTCCGCCCATGTTACCATCTCTAAACCTAATGTTGGAGAAGTATTGCTATTATACTTGGCCATTTCAAAAGAGGACATAAGCTTTATGCTTGTACAAGAAAAATGCAGCCAACAACTATCCGTTATTATGTGAGCAACACTTTTGTAGGTCTCCATCTGCTACCTGGATATGGAGAAGCTCGCCTATCACTAGTCACCTTTTTCAAAATGTTGAGACCCTACTTCCTGGCTTACAACCTAATTGTTCACAAATTTCTTAAGTAGTTGTTACAGACCCTACTTCCTGGCTTACAACCTAATTGTTCACAAATTTCTTAAGTAGTTGTTACAGAGACGCCTCCAGAAGATTGATGAAGTAGGTTGTAAAGCCGAGTCAGTTCGAAATTATTTTTAAGTCAATGACCTTCATCAAAGGGCAGACTTTCATTGACTTCGTCGCCAAATTCACCAATTTTACTAAAATTAAGTTGAAGATGGAATCCATTAAGTCCCGAACCACCACCTCTTTGTCGATGGGTCATCTAGAGAGGTGGGCTCAAGGATAGGAATAGTTTCATAAGTATAAGGGTCATAAGCACAATTTCGCTTTAGATTCAATTTCAAAGCCTACAACAATGTCTTGGATTATGAAGCCCTTCTAGTCAGGCTTAGGTTGGCCTAGACGATGCAAGTGAAGAGGCTACTTGTGAATAAGAATTCCAAATTATTATATCATTCAGTTTCTAGTTTCTTTCAAATAATACTTAAACTTCAGGAATGCTACACCTTTTCTTTTATTTGGGCTTTGGATTCCCATTCTTATAGGCAATACTAATATGAAAGGCTTCGACGAAATCTTGAATGTGGTGATGTACAATATTCCAATAATGAATTTCCTTCCAAAAGGGATGAGGTCAATTAAGACGTCTAAGATTAACAATTTGTGTCGATTTTTTAGAGCGGCACTTGGATAATTGGTTGCTACAAGTTCGAAGATTAAGATAGACTTAACTAAGTGAACAAACTAAAAAAATTTCGAATCACCAAAACTTTGATTATGTCAAAATATAATGTTAGTTTCAAACTAGTCCATTTGTTGAGTAAACAATGCATGTGAACTTTTTGGGTGCCTACCTCCATAACTTAGATAATTTATATTCGTAATTCTTGTTGAAAAAGATATCATTTCAAGAATAAAGGAAGCGTTTATGTTACTTATTACTTCGAATGTTGATTTGTTTTGCCCTATCCAAATGGGTGTGACATGCTATCAAACGTGGAATGTGGTGATTATCAAAATTTGAGGACTATTTTATCGGTTAGTCACTCCTAGGATGTTTTGCTTTTTGCAAATTCGGAGATTAGATTTAGCCAAACCAAATAAACATATTAATATATAGCATTTTGAATCCTTAAGCTCCGATCTCATCCGTACATAATGTCCTAACTGCCATATTTGTACAGAATGAGAGATGTCTTCAAAACAAAATGTACATGTATAAATCTCATACTTTTTAGCCCCTGTTTGGGCTCCATTATTGTAATAATACATTTTTCTCTTTGTTATTTCCAACCACATATTTTCTAATAAAATAATATTACACATAAATCCAAATCTTTTCCTTCATTTTAACCACATATTTTTCATAAATTTACTATTTTAAAATACATTTTTTTCCCAAAACCGCATTTTAATGGAGATCAAACAGGGGCTTAGTAACCTCTCATCGAGAGCAACACAATGTTTTGAGAAAATTATGATGTCTAATTTTGAACTCTTGCTACAATTTTGAACAACAATGATACACAGTCTAATCGATAAAAATGGTAGATGAAGAAGACTACAGCTAGACGAACAGTGCAATTTGTGGTGCGTAGATTTTGGATATTTTTTGCTGTTTGCAGATTATGTTTCTTAATTGTACTAACAACTTCTCAAAGAAACTAAGTTACATATGTGCCTTGAACAATGTTCATCGACTACCATAGTACATGAAATTTCGATCGCACAATAGTGTCCCTACCCATTTGTGGATGATATATGCACCGTCCAATAACGTGGATATTTCTACAAAGAAGTCAACTTGGACTTTTTTTATGTCATTTTGAACTTTTTTTCGTTAGATTATGAATAGTAAACGTTTTTCATTTTTTAACGACCAAAGAGAATTTTCATTTCCTAATAAATTATGACCAAGTTAATAAAAAGTTAATGTTGGTTCCTCAATCTTTCATGTAGCGTAATATCAAGTCACTAACCTTCAAAAGGAAAGTTCTAGTGTTTGTATTTTCAATCTATTTAAATATGATAATTTGGATCCTTATGAGACGAGCATTTAATGTAAACCCAAAATTGGACGTTATAGTTTAGCTTTAAGTTGCATGAAGGCTACGTATGATCTTAATATTCACGTTGATAATTTCAATCACAAATAGAGACAAACGGGGGCGGAGCCCAGTAAGGCCTAGGGTGGGCCCAGGCCCACCCTGAACTTCTGGGCTTCAAATTTTTTTTTTTTTAGTTATAGTCTAAATCCCAACCCAAGAGAGAAAGCTCGAAATACCAATATACGGCCCAAGTCCAGAACTTCTGGGCTTCAAATTTTTGTTTTTTTTAGTTATAGTCTAAATCCCAGCCCAAGAGAGAAAGCTCGAAATACCAATATACGGCCCAAGTCCAGCGTCCAGGTCCAGACCAATCCCAAAAATTTAAACCTCGTTCCGTCGTTCCTCGAACAGTTCCACCCTTTTCTCCCCTGCTCCGCCTCCACTTCGCAGCTTGAAGCATCGTTCGTACCTGAAGCCTCCGCCTCCTGGATTAACAAGATGTAGAATTCCCACAATCTATACACTCCTTTATCGTTAAATTCCACATGACTGTGTCTTTAACAGACGTTTTATCGAACAGTTTCACTGCTTCTTCCAGTCTACAATTTTCTACGTAGCAAGAAATCATTTTTGTCAACAAACAGACATCAGGAGACGAAATTTTATCAAAAAGGGCTCGTGCTTTGTGCAATATTTGGCTCTTTAAATGATCAGATAGGACAAAAATGTAATTACCAGAGAATGTGGTACTAGGTTTAAAATTTTCTGCAATGCCCATGAAAGATTTTGATTGCTTTGTAAGAGTGGTAGATAAATTCACAGTTTGAGTGGCGAGTGATTTGGGAAAAAGTTGGGATTTTTTAATGCGGCGTGAAATGTTGTCATTTTGAGTCATCACGGCTACTACTTCGGCAAAGGGACAGAAGGCTAATATCGTGTTGGTGCGAGGATGAGACTGTTGTGTAAGTTTGATTACTTTCTTCAAACAATAAAAATTGCTTGTTTTAAAAGTAATTCTTGCCTCGGCCTCTTGGATTATTGGATGAATGATAGCACAATTGTTTATGTAGAGAAATATATATTTTTGAAGCTCGATAATGAAATTATCGTATATCGATATCAAAATATGAAAACTCGAAATTAGCAAGTTTAATTTATAAATTATGTTATTTTTAGTACCGTCGTAATATTATTTTATATTTTTATTATCATTACATTCATGACAAAAACTCGACGTTCAACAAAGATAAATTGTGCCCACCCAAAATTACTTTTCTGGCTCCGCCCCTGGACACAAAAGTAAGAACTCAAAATCGTAGTACCTAAAAGGTTGGAAGTCTAGACCCAATAGGTAACCATTGGGTGGCAGCTAGCTATAATAGCCATGTTAGCCTTCTAAATTTAACATTTGTTTGACATCCTTAAAATTTTAAAAACGTTGTTTTGAATTGTCTTTTTAGAGAGTGCGTGGTTACAACTTAGGAAAAAAATTTGAATTTATAGTAGAATATTTTATTATTTAAATGTGTGATTAAAACTGAACACGAGAAGTAAATTAAGATCAAAGTAAAAGATACCAAATACACCCTCATTTACATTGTGTGGCATCCAGCTATCATCGCCATGTCAGCTTTCTAAAATTACTCTTTGGGCATGCCTCAAAAGTCAAATATACATACACACGCAGTAAAAGCCCAGAATCCAGATTTGAACTTGAATAATGCTACGATTGCAAATGGGGGCAGGCTAATTTTTTTTTCAAACTGTGCAATAATGTTGCATTCTGTGTTCCCATTGTTTGTGTAGCATGATTGTTTGACCTTCGGTGCATTTTGGGGCCCAAAGTAATGACGTCCCCGTCAAGTTTCCCTTTTTAGTCCTTTATTCAAACGAAGACCCTCTCATTTTCTGTCTTTTTCTACAGCAAGTATCCCTTTTTAGTCCTTTATTCAAACGAAGAGCCTCTCATTTTCTGTCTTTTTCTACGTCTCTCTAAATATATACATCTTTTGTGCCTTTTGATGCGATTTTCTTTCGAGGGTTGCCATGATTTTTTTCAAGATTGAAGCTCTCCAGCTGAACAAGAAAAGAGAATAACAATGGATTTATTAATTCTTGTTTTTGTTTTAGTAGTAGCTGCTTCTTCTGCACATGAAGGTTATTGTTTTTTCTTCATTCACTTGCTTCCGTATGCTTTCTTGGTCCCAGTTTTATACAATTATTTTTTATTTTATTTTTTGTGCAAATCGTTTATGTTTATGCATTTGTTATGTTGCTGTGATCCACATTGTCCCAATTCCTTGATGTTGTCGCTTCTCTGATTGAAAATAGATGTATGTTTGGAATACTGTAAATAGAAGTCAATCGTGCTGGTAAAGTCTAAAGAGTTAAAGTAAAACTAGCAAATGCCCAAATTTTTCATCTTGTGGAGTAATGATTGGTCTTGCCAAGAAGAGATAGGGCCTCGTCTGAACTAGTTGCTTGAGGTCTTCTGGAGTAGAAACGTAATTCATTTTCTTTGATTGTGTATCAATATCATCTCGAGTATCTTCCCTTTTTTCTCCACTTTCCCAAATGGGAATTGCTAAAGTTATCGACTAGCATTGAGATTGGTCTTCAAATTTTGAGTTATTCCCCTAAAGATCAGTCTTCCTATATTAAGGATTGTTTTAAAAAAACCGACATCAATTGTCATATAAGTCTTTCAAGAAGGTGGATAGCTCTTATAACTTATGTTTCTAGGAGAGGTGCCCAAGAATATAGACTTGAGGGTTCTAGTATCTAATTAGATTGGTCTTTTAAGGGATCCAAGACACTAGATGTGAGTGAGATATTGTTTTAATGTGTGAATAGGATTCTTTGAATACTGAAATCCGGAGAGCATCTATTGAGGACGTTTGTTGAAAACTTAAGGGTCGAGCTACTTCTAAAAAGTGTCAGGTTTTTCTCTTTCACTACATTTTGTTGAGTACTAGTACAACTGGACTAATGGATAAGCCTATTTTGTGTAAAGACTGCGCCCAGACACTCGATAATATATTCTCCTCCATTATTTGAACAAACAACTTTTCCTGTAGACGAAATTGAATCTGGATAACATTATAAAAGTTCTTTAGTGTGGTCACGGTGTTTATTTTTGATTTGAGGAAAGTTATCCATGTAACTTAGCTATAATCATCAATAAAGCTGATAAACCATTTGGCTGAACATTGGTCTGAATAATAGAGAAAGGTCATTCATCTCTTCTTTATTTGATGAGCTTGAAGTTTTATCCCTTCCTTGGTATCTAGATAGTAGAGGCCATCTCTTTCCTTAGTTGCCAATCATCTTTGCCAAAGTGAAGTCTCGAAAGACTCGATGGTATGGAAATAAAATGTCACTGATTTAGTAAATTTACTTAGAAATAACAATTTGCAAGTCATATTGAGAACATATAATACAAAGGAAATTGTGATATTAGGTGAAACAGATGTGTCCACTTTACCACTCATAGGACTAAAAGAACCATTAGCAACTTGCACCTTTTTCCGAAAACATGGTTTGTCGAATAATAAAAATTATTCTACATGTGATAAGTCGACCCTGAATCAATGATTCAGAGGCTGAAATTTGAAGCAACGTGTACCTGAGCAAATGCACAAGAAGTGGAAGTGGTAGAACCCATGAGTTCATACAAGAGTTTGATAGGCCCCAAAAGCACGTTAATAATTCCATTCAGCTAGCTAAAGTTAGGGGGTAGGTAGTTTGGGATGTTTATGTAATTAATTCAAGTAGGAGTCAATAAATATGAGGGGTAGGGGGTTCTGTTCAAATCCTTTACACAGAAGTTGAGAGTTATAGAGTGGGAAGAGTGCTGGCCTCTCGAATGCAGTGCATCTATCTGTAATCATCTGGTAGGCTCTGGCAGTTTGTAGATAATAGTGAAGAACAACAGAAATTATACTATGTTAAGGAAGTAATACATGTGAATATCTGTGTTTATTTTCTGTATTGTACTGAGAAAGATTATAAGCAGAATCTGGAATGGAAATAGGAGTTACTGACTTTTGAGAGGCTTGTGTAGAGCTGTAAATGGATTGGATATGGATCGGGTCTGCCTATATCCGATCCGATCCGATAAGAAAATTATCCAATCCGATCCGATCCGATCCGATAATCCAACGGATATTTGATGGTTAAATCCATATCTGATTTGCTATGTTATCGGATATCCGATCCGAAATTAATAAAAATTAGGAAAAAAATAATGTTCTTTAAAAAATTTTGAACTAACTTGACGCCCACTTGTTTTTACTAGCAAGCCCAATAGTGACTTTTACCATCATTATGTTCATTTTTAAAGGAGAGATCCTCTTTTAGTTTTCTATTGACATTCGATGTGGGATAAGGTAAAATTGAATTTCAATTCTAAATGTCAATATTTTATTTCATTATTTCCATTAACAAATCAAATTATTTGTTACATATTAATTATTAGTTTTTGAGCCTCTCGAATGCAGTGCATCTATCTGTAATCATCTGGTAGGCTCTGGCAGTTTGTAGATAATAGTGAAGAACAACAGAAATTATACTATGTTAAGGAAGTAATACATGTGAATATCTGTGTATATTTTCTGTATTGTACTGAGAAAGATTATAAGCAGAATCTGGAATGCAAATAGGAGTTACTGACTTTTGAGAGGCTTGTGTAGAGCTGTAAATGGATTGGATATGGATCGGGTCTGCCTATATCCGATCCTATCCGATAAGAAAATTATCCAATCCGATCCGATCCGATAATCCAACGGATATTTGATGGTTAAATCCATATCCGATTTGCTATGTTATCGGATATTCGATCCGAAATTAATAAAAATTAGGGAAAAAAATAATGTTCTTTAAAAAATTTTGAACTAACTTGACGCCCACTTGTTTTTACTAGCAAGCCCAATAGTGACTTTTACGATCATGATGTTCATTTTTAAAGGAGAGATCCTCTTCTAGTTTTCTATTGACATTCGATGTGGGATAAGGTAAAATTGAATTTCAATTCTAAATATAAATATTTTATTTCATTATTTCCATTAACAAATCAAATTATTTGTTACATGTTAATTATTAGTTTTAGAAATTGTAAAATNAGTTGTAAAATAAATTACAATAATAAATTTAATTAAGAAAAATATAGATATTTATTTACTTTAAATTAGTAAACTAAAATTAAAAAAAATCTATTGTTTTTAAAATATTTTATATTTATGTGTATAGTTATTTATTCAATTTAACAACTGGGTCGATACCGATTCAACCCCAATTCGACTTTTTAACACTTGACCCTCTTTCTTTTCTGGGTCGATGCCCGCGTCGGTTTTTAAAACATTGGTTGAAATCAATATTTTTTTTTTCAAATTTTCGAATTCTTAAGCAGGTTTAATAATTATAAAATTTTCAACATTTTTTTATTTTTTGAATTTGATTAATTTTTTATTTTAAATTTATTTATTTTCTCACTTATTTATTTTAGTGACAAATAATATACTATAAAAATATTTTACCGACTCAATTATTTATAACAAATCGGATCGGATTGATCTATATCCATATTTGATCCATTTAGTTAACGGATTATCGGATTCGAATATTGATCGGGTTATCGGACTGAGATCCTAAATCCATCTCCCATTAATTTCGTTGGATTCGGATCAAAATCCAATCCATTGACAACCCTAGGCTTGTGTCTCTCCACCCTCAGATTTGAGTTCAAAGTATTGAATGAATTTAACACCTTTCTCCCCCTATTTATTCAGTTTGTCCATAATTAAGACTCTTCCTAGATACACCTCATGTGTGCAGAATACTAACAAATTATATAGTGAGTCCATATGCATTTCACTCTTCTATTGAGCTAGATTCTTCTATCCTTCGAGATGGGCCATTGATATCCCTTCCCCCACCTTCTTGTGCCTACTGTAAGTCAAACACACCGTGGTCTATCATCGTCTTGATTTATTTCGCCCCCGTTTGATAGATATTAAAATCCAAATTTTAATTTAATTCAAAGTCAACAACTAATTTTAACCACACATTTTATCAACTTTTACTAAAATCTACTAAAAATCTGATTTAGTCCCCACCAAACAGGGTCATTTTAATTTCTTCATTCATCAAATATATACAAAATCACTTCAATGTTCTAGCTGATCCTTTGTAAATGGAAGGTTTCCAGTGCTTAGAGAGGGATCTGTGCTATCTGCAATGACAAATTTGTAGCATTTCTATCCTCTTGAAAAGTTATTTTTTATTGTAAAGAGGAACCCATTGTTGTTTAGCAGTCCTATTTTCCTGTTGTAGCCTTCCATCTAGTTTCCTCCAGCATGTCTCTCTAGCGTTCTTTGTTTTTTTTTGAAGAAATAACACCGCCTAGGGCCTTTTTCTTTTTTATTCTTACCATCCAGGAAAGTATTATGTGCCGACTCCAGAAAAAAGGTTTTTTTCAGCATTATTGCCTTCATGGATCCGTCATCATGCACAAGAGAACAAACTTCATTTAAAGAGGGATGATAATCCTTATCAAGGTTGCGACCTTCTTACCTTACCTAATTATGAATTTTGACCACCCAAAATTTTTAATCAGTTCCCCAGCAAGCTTGGGCATCAGTATGTGACTCCATTTCAATATGCTGGTAGATATTTATCTCCTGCCACAGAGCTTTCAACGAGTTGTAGGCTGTGACGGACAGATCTCCTTGATCGGGCCCATGAACTTTGACTATGTGTCACGGCATCCCAAACATTCTTAGCGGTGGAAAGAAACAGGAAAGGTATTCCCATTTATAGTTGCATTGAGTTCAACAACCAGGACATTATCACAGAGTTTTTAGCTTCCCAGGAGTCAGAGGTAGAATTTGAGGGTGCAAGTACTTTCACATCCCCACGTAAATATCCCATTTTCCCTCTATTTTTGAGAAAAAAAGTTTAACAGACTCAGACCATTCAAGGAAATTGTATCCATTTAGTTTTTCGGTGGTAATTTGAAGAGTGTGATTGTCAAGATGATTGGAGGATTTAGGCTGATTTTATATTTTCTGGTTGGAGGATTTTTTGGCCATGTTAAACACAAAATAATGGGCTGAACTGAAAGAAAATTTAGAAATCGAAGGGCAAGTAGGCTTTAAAAACACCTTTCTAGTACACTGGAAAGAGGCAAAGATGTCGTAGAAATGGGCAGTGCTGCCAGTGGTAGAAAAAGGGGAAATCTGGTGGAGAAGATAAGGACAAAGACAGGCCAAAAAAGGCAAGAAATACAGCCTAGAAACTATAAGGGCTTTGATACCATATTGGTTAATACCAAAAATTATTTTATCGAAGAGTCTACACATAATTATATAATTATTTGCTTGTAATAGTACTCCTAGAGACAGGAAAGAATACAAGTATCCTATGCTATACAAAGTTGACCAATCTACTAGCTGCTTACCGAATAGCATTTACAGCTAATTAATTATAGTCTACAGAAATAGCTAACTAGAATCCCAGAATTGAGGATACTTGTCTTTACCATTAAGGCTTTGTTACTTGTGGTAGAAGTTTCACCTTTTCCATTCCTTGACACAAGTTTCAGTTTCACAGGTGAATACTAGATGATATGATTGCCTCAAACTCAAGACTATGTTATAGATATTGGGAGAGTCTATGATGCTCAAACTCTCCAAAAATGGAGAAGTATCCGTGTTGACACAACATGACATGGATACTGATACGAGATATGGATCAAATTCTTGGTTTTGAGGTCGGACATGACAGCAAAAGGGAGAAGACAGCTGCCTTTTGGCTTTGCGTCTAGGGTTTTGTAGGAGTCGAGGAAGGTATATGGATGCAGAAAGAAGGTAGACAAGAAGACGGTTGCATTTTGGCTTTAGGGTTTTTGCAGGAGTCGAGAAAGGTGGAGGGATGTAGATGGAAGGTGGATGAATGCAGAAAGAAGATTAGAGTTGGGGAAGACGAGGCAGTTATTGGGTTTGTTGGTTAGTAGGCTTGTAGTTAGCTTGGGCTTTAGGAAATTGAATGTTAAAATTCTAAGTTATTATGAGAATAAGGTTTTTGGCTTATGGATAAGTGGGCTCAAGGAAAATTGGTATTTTGTGTTGATAAGTGAGCAGTTTTTTTTTTTTTTTTTAATTAAGTAAAAACAACTAAAAGACTTAACTTTTTATTTTGAGTTTATTTTTGTATTAAATTTCTTATTTCTTACATTTATGAGAATGAAATTTTTATTTTGTAATTAAAATGATTTAGTGTTATATTTTTTTGGTATTAAATTTAAATTTATTTCTATAATATTTTTTAAATAATATATAAGATATTGAAATTGATTTTTTTCTTTAATTTTTTTGAAAAAAATTATTTTAACTTTAAATTTAAATTGATTTCAAATTATAATCCAATTATTTAAATTGATTATAATCCAATTATTTAAAAATATATTTTGTAGGACGTATCCCCGTACCCTTATCCAAAATTCGAATTATTTTTAACTGTATTCCCATATCTTAATTTTAGAAATGAGAAAGATCTGATTTCTAGATAATTATCTATATTCGACGTCCGCACCTGAATCTGAGCTTCATAGAAGAGAGTTATATCTCAAAAGCTAATGGTTGAAGTTGGAGAACTCAAGTCTATATAAACATCACACTGAAAGTTTATGCTTTCTTCGCAAGATCCAAATCCCATGCCTTGCAATATGAACTATGACAAATCATCATACTCCGCATGACTAGTCCTAGACAAATACTACTATATCGAGTGTCTGCTCTAATATCATTGTTATAGATATTCGGAGAGCCATACCTTAAAAACTAGCTATTGAAGTTGGAAAGCCCAAGTCTATATAAACTCCACACCGAAAATTCAAAATTTCGATGTGGGATCCAAGCTCCATATCTTACAATGGGAACCATAATAAATCAGGAAGGTGATGTTGGCATTGAAGTGTGTTTGTCTGGGACTTTTCATGGGCTAGTGCTTAGCCAGTCCAATGTCGAAGTCAGGATCGTGAAGCATGGTAGTTTGTCATGGTTCTCATTGCAAGCTATGAAACTTAGATCCTACGTCGGAAGTGTGTGCTTTCAGTGTGGTGTTAATAGACTTGGATTTTTTAACTTTAATAGCTAGCTTTTGAGACAATGATATCAGAGTAGACACTACGTCTTCAGTTGCAATCGAGGAATGCAAATGGTGGCGTCCGCATATCAGTGATTGTCCGGGACTAATCATAAGGCTAGTGCAAAGTCAGTCTAATGTGGGTGCAGTGATCGCAGAGCATGGTGGTTTGTCATGGTTCCCATTATAAGGTGTGGAACTTGGATCTCATATTAAAAGTATGGGCTTTAGGCGTGAGGTTTATATAAACTTAGGTGTCCAACTTCAAGAGCTAACTTTTGAGGTACAATTCTTCCAAGATCTATAACAGACTCATCCCATGAGATGGAACTGTGCTCCGTCCAGTTCTTATAAGTTTTGAATTTTAGCTCATATTGTGTTCTACCATTCCAAATTTGATACTTCGGTGCTTTTAAAAATGGATAAGACACGATGAATTCAGTTTACATCTTTATTTGATCTTCAACTAATGTATTAAAAAAAATTCAAAACTACAGAAGAGCAGAGATTGATTCTTTGCAATTTGAACCAAAATGCAATCTGATTGCTGGATACAAGGAGTACCCAATAACCCGGATTTTGTAGATCTTAATGAGGACGATGAGAGATGTAGTTAATGATAAACTAATGTTTTCATTAACGTAGTTTCCTTTGACGTTTCAGTTTTAATTTTTTACTAGTGATCATACTACATTTGGAACAAATTATTTTGATAGTACTATATGGAAGCATTAATTTACAAAGTTCATTTATGCATCAAACCACTTCACTGTGGTAAAGTTTTCTCCCGCCAAATGAATTTGTTTCTAAGCAAAATATTCTTTTATTTGAAATGATCTATTACTTGTAAATGAACTGGTTGCAATCGGGATGTCTAGAGTGCTGTCTTTGGCTGATCAGCCTCCTCTCTAATCTTGAGTCTGTGATTTTCTTTTGTCAGATGCTTTTGTAGGCATTAATATCGGTACAGAACTTTCTGACATGCCAAGTCCAACTCAGGTGGTGGCCCTTCTCAAGGCTCAGCAGATCCACCATGTCAGGCTTTATGATACCAATAGAGATATGCTTCTGGCACTTGCTAATACTGGAATACGTGTTACTGTATCTGTGCCTAATGATCAGCTACTAGGCATTGGGCAGTCAAACGCCACTGCAGCCAATTGGGTTTCTCGCAACATTCTTACACATGTCCCAGCCACCAACATCACATCCATAGCTGTTGGGTCCGAAGTTCTTACGACCCTTCCAAATGCTGCTTCTATTCTTGTTTCTGCAATTGAATTCATTCACTCTGCCCTCGTGGCTTCAGGCCTTGATTCCCAAATCAAAGTTTCCACCCCACATTCTTCTTCAATTATCCAATTCTCATTTCCACCCTCCCATGCTTTCTTCAACCGATCGTGGGTCCCCGTCATGGTCCCCTTGCTCAAATTCTTGCAGACTACAGGGTCATTTTTTATGCTTAATGTTTATCCATACTACAATTACATACAATCCAATGGTAAAATTGCACTGGATTATGCTCTATTTCGTCCGCTTCCTCCTAACAAGGAAGCTGTCGATACAAACACACTTCTGCACTATACGAACGTCTTTGACGCAATTGTAGATGCAGAATATTTCTCTCTATCTTCACTAAACTTCACTAATATTCCTGTGGTTGTTACCGAATCTGGCTGGCCCTCCAAGGGCGACTCTTCTGATCCAGATGCCACTCTTGACAATGCTAACACTTACAACAGTAACCTTATTAGGCATGTTCTAAACACAACGGGGACTCCTAAACATCCTGGGATTGCAATTAATACATACATTTATGAACTTTACAATGAAGATCTTAGGTCTGGTCCTATTTCAGAAAAGAATTGGGGACTTTTTGATGCAAATGGGGTGCCTGTTTACAGCCTACACTTAACAGGTTCTGGGACTGTGTTATCTAATGATACTACAAATCAGACTTTTTGTGTTGCAAAGGAAGGTGCTGATCGCAAGCTGGTACAAGCAGCATTAGATTGGGCTTGTGGACCAGGGAAAGTGGATTGCTCCCCTTTGTTGCGGGGGAACCCATGCTATGAACCAGATACTGTGGTTGCACATGCATCGTATGCTTTTGATGCTTACTATCGCCGGATGGCAATGGCTGATGGAACCTGTAACTTCAATGGTGTGGCCACCGTCACCACCAAAGATCCAAGTATGACACCAAATCTTGATTTTCAATTAATCAATGAATTTCCTTTGTAGCAAAAGATTATTTTTAAAATATTGTAAAAGATCGAATGGCTAATTACGAGGGCATACAAATAGATCATAGTTGACTCTTAATTATGCATTACGATTCCTAATGTTTGAATTTTTTGGTGTAGGTCACCGTCCTTGCATTTTCCCAGGAAGGTAAGACAGTTGAACATTGTTAATTTGGTTGTTCAGATGTTCTTATATCTTTGTCTTCCTATAAATTTTGACAGTTAAGGTTTCTGTTAAATTTATCTTAATGATTTGTCCTTTTTGCTTGTTCTCATTCTTGTAGTCATGGGAGAAATGTCGATTTCATAAACGGAACTCTTCTTGCTCCTTCTTCAAATTCTACGGTATCTGGCTGTCATTCAGAATATTTCTGTGGCAATATTTTCATGAGCTCCTTAATAGCCGGTGTTGTTATACTATGGGTTGCTGCATTTTTGTAAAGATATTTTTATTATTCATTATACAACCGTTTAACTGCATCTATAGATTCGAAGCATATGGATTTCTTCTCTGTAATTTCCAAGACTCCCGATTTTGTTCCTCTGAGGAGCGCAAGGGTTTGGCATGTTTGAACTCGATATTACTAGCTATTAGTTTGGAGTTGAGTAGTTGGTTAATTTTGTACAAAGAAAGCATTTCGATAGTTTGTTTCCACCAATGTAATTAATTACCTTTCTGGATAAAGCCAGCAACGTATTGGATTGAATCCTTGCACCTGCATACTCTACATTCAACTCTTTGGGTCAATAATTTGCTGAGCTGAATTTATGAATTTGTTTTGCAATTGCTGGATAAATTTCACAGGCAACAAAGATGGCAGTAGCTGGTAGCCGTAGTTTTTGCATGAAACTATAGTCACTATGTTGAAGCCGGTGAGATGGAAGCATTTGTAGGAAACATGTCCCACCTGACCACACAAAAAAATGTTCCAAGTGAATACGGGGAGATGAGATCTGGTAGAACCACTGATTGAGAGCTCCTTGCAAATGATCAGCCATCAGTCAGCTGTACCTACTTTGCAAACAATCATGCTTGGTCTACATCATATCTTACATCGTTACTTACACTTTGCCACATGGCATCATTTAATTCGACAATTTTAAAAAACAATTTCAACCAATATTTTTTTGACAACACAGCAAAAGTCATTCATAGTATAAGGATGAAGTGTACAAACAGCATAATCCATTTGCAAAACACAGCTGCCCTACTAAACACCACCCTGTAATGTCAATGTGAAGTTTGGGTTGAAATCATCTCTGATAGATAATTTTAGGGTTCATTTGGCATGATTTTTGAGAAGTCAAAATGAACTTTTGAGATTCAAAATTTGCTTTTTGAACTCAAAATTTGTATTTTGACTTGTTTAGCTAATCTCATGAAAGTGATTTTTTTAGTTAAAAGAACTTTCGGGGTGTTTTTTATTGCATTTATTTTTTATGAAAATGTCAATTTTTCATTTAAATTCTTAATTTGGAGTGTTTGATTGTTTTTTTTGAACTTTTGAAAATATGCTAGTTTTCCTTATTTTTAAGAAACACATTTTTTTGGAGGAGTAGGATTTTGTTTTTCTCATAATAAAGAAAGCATTTTCTTTTTAGAAGATATTTTTCATGACAATCAAACACATTCTTAGAGAAAGTTAATTCAATTTTACTCTCTAAAAACATTTTTGGAATAGGAAACTGTTTTAGAAATTAATTTTCAAATAAAAATTTAAATAATTTTTTGAGAAGTTTTTCTGTAAAAAAACAAAGGCAAAGATAAAAATTATGTCAAACGAGCCCTCAACTAAGTCATGATCTTCCACATAAACCAAATGCCCTCCCTATTTATTGTTGGAAACAAGGTTTTGTTCCACATGAGCCAAATGTCATCCCTATTTATTGTTGGAAAAATGTTTTGTATATTGTGAAATGGGTCAACTATGAACTCAAATTTGAGTGGGATTCGTATTTTGAAATTAACGGGATCAAACATATCACGTTTTACTTAACGAGAGGATTAATATGTTATATTTATTTGTTGAAAATTATTTAGCCCCTATTTAATTCCTTTTACTTTATTTCAATTTATTTCTTATACTCATTTTCAATTACGCATTCACGCAATAAAATATTTTACAGCAAACTAAAAATTTTTCTTTACTTTTTAACCACACATTTTCCAAAAAGTACTCTTCAAAACTATATTTTTTAAATTTTAAAGTCACCTGATTAATCAAGATGTTGAGGAGGGTAAGGAAATGAAAAGCCATATATCTAAATTGACCAATGCCTTAGTGATAGGGGAACATGGAAAATTTCCAGTTCAACCTCAACCAAATCTTAAGGGACAACACATGGCTTAAACCTTAGGTGTAGAAGAAAATAACCTTAAGAAAATAAATGCCATCACCACTTGATCTGGGAAGGTTATAGAACCAATCATTAAGCCTTAAGAATAAAGGGAAACTGAGAAAGAATCTGGTAGTTCTGAAGAGAACGGTCCTAGTGATAAGGTGGAGGAAAACCTAGCTAGAGTACCATTTCCTCAAGCTCTCAAGCCTACTTTGAAAGCTACTAGCCAACATAATGAATCCTAGAACACCTTAGGCAGGTAAAAATCAACCTACCTCTTTTGCATGTGATATCTCGAATTCCTACATAAGCAAAAGTCCTCAAAGACTTGATAAGGTAGTGGAAAACCTAGCTAGAGCACCATTTCCTCAAGCTCTAAAGCCTAATATGAAAGCTAATAGCCAACATGATGAGATCTTAGAACACCTAAGGCAGGTAAAAATCAACCTACCTCTCTTGCATGTGATTTCTTAGGTTCCTACATATGGAAGACTTGTGCACTGTGAAAAAGAATTGTCATGTCAAGAAAACGACTTTCTTAACTGAGCAAGCGAGTGCGGTGATTGAACAAAGAGTCCCACCAACGTACTAGGACCCCAGTTGTCCTACAATTTCTTGCAACATTGGGAGTTGTGAGTTTGCACAAGTTCTTCTTGATTTAGGAGCCAGTGTTAACCTCATGTCTTATGCTATTTATCTACTGTTAGGTTTAAGTGAAATAAAACCTACATCCGTAGTCTTACAATTAGCTGATCGGTCCACTATAAAACCCAGAGGAGTAGTTAAAGATGTTTTGGTGCAAATAGAAAAATTTTACTATCCTGTAGATTTCTTAGTACTAGATTTGAAGGTTGATGTGAACGTAAACTCTAAAATACCTATCATTCTTGGTAGACATTTCCTTGCTAATGTGAACTCAAAAATACCTATCATTTTTGGTAGACATTTCCTTGCTACAGCTAATGCTCTTATAAATTACAGGAATGGTCTGATGAAATTATCTTTTGAAAATATGACTTTAGAAGTCAACATTTTTCACATCACTAAGCAGCCCATGGAAGATGATGAGTGCCATCAAATGTACATGATTGATACACTCACGCAGGAAAAAGCATCTGCAACTATTGACTTCGACCATTTAAACTCTTTTTTTATAAATTCGAAAATCCCCGCACTTTGCCATAATGTTTTATATGCTAACATTTGTGCAGGTTTTGCTAAATTTCAGGACTATGGGACATCACCATGGCAGCACAAGTTTGAAGAATTGCCGGCTAGGACTGGAGGACAGCAACCATCAAGCATTGAGAGTCTAAAATCGGAGTTGAAATCACTATCCCTAGGACTAAAACATGTGTTCCTTGGACCAAGTGATACTTTTCCTGTAATTATTTCTTCAGAATTGAATGTAGCATAAGGTAAACAACTTTTAAATATTTTGAATGAACATAAATCTGCATTAGGAAGGACTATAGCTGACATAAGGTATAAGCACTTTAATTTGCTCACATAAAATTCACTTAGAAGAGGGAACAACTCCAAAAAGAGACCCACATCGTAGGTTAAATCCATCAATGAAGGAAGTAGTTAAAAACGAGGTGCTAAAACTATTAGATGTAGGTATTATCTACCCGATTGCGGATAGTAAATGGGTTAGTCCAAAAGAGGTTCCTAAAAAAGTCAGGAGTCACTGTGGTAAAAAATGAATTAGGTGAAATGGTCTCTACAAAAACAGTGACTGGATGGCGCATGTGCATTGATTATAGGAAATTGAATGCTGCCACTCACAATGACCATTTTCCCCTTCCATTTCTGGATCAAATTCTCAAGCGTGTGGCTGGTCATCCCTTTTACTGCTTCTTGGATGGCTGCTCTGGTTACTATCAAATAGAGATAGCTTTAGAGGATCAGGAAAAGACCACATTTACTTGTCCGTTTGGTACCTATGCATTTCGTAGGATGTCATTTGGATTATGTAACGCTTCTGTGACTTTTCAACGATACATGATGAGTATGTTTAGTGACATGGTAGAGAATTGCATGAATGTTTTTATGGATGACCTAACTATTTTCAAGACTTCTTTTGATGCATGCTTGTTGAATTTGAAGAGACTTTTAACCCGATGTGAAGAAAAGGGGTTAGTTGTGAATTGAGAAAAATGTTACTTTATGATACCTTCGGGAATTGTCTTAGGTCATGTTGTTTCGTCTAAAAGGATAAAGGTTGATAAATCTAAAATTGAATTAATATCTAAATTACCAATGCCTAACAAAAGATATTAGATCATTCCTTGGCCATGCGGGTTTCTATAGAAGGTTTATACAAAATTTCTCATCCATTTCTAGACCACTATGCAACCTCTAGCCAAAGATGCCACCTTCGAATGGACCCCAGCTTGCCAGAGGCGTTTAAAACGTTAATCAATAAGCTAACCTCAGTGCCCATAATACAATCACTTGATTAGTCATTACCATTTGAAATTATGTGTGATGCTAGTGATTATGCGATGGGTGCGGTGATTGGACAATGAAGGGAGGGAAAGCCTTTTGTCATTTACTATGCTAGCGGGACCTTAAATAGTGCTCAAATGAACTACTCCACAACCGAGAAGAAACTACTAGCTGTGGTTTTTGCACTAGATAAGTTTTAATCTTATCTTATTGGTTCTCCTATCACAATCTTTACAGACCATCCAGCCCTTAAGTATCTCCTTTCAAAGAAGGATGCTAAAGCGTGCTTAATTAGGTGGATTTTACTTTTACAAGAATTTGACATCACCATTAAAGATAAAAAAGGGGTAGAGAACGTGGTAGCGGACCATTTATCTAGGCTAACTTTACAGGCCAATGTGAATCAACTGCCAATTAGAGATGACTTCCCAGATGAACATTTGTTTTTGTTTCCTCTTTGCCCTGGTTTGCTCATATTGTGAACTACATTGCCGTAGGTCAAATCTCGAGAGAATGGAGTGCACAAGATAAAAGAAAGTTCATGATTGAGGTGCGTAAGTTTTATTGGGACGAGCTATGCCTATTCAAATACTGCCATGATCAGATTTTGAGACATTGTGTCCTCGATGAGGAGGTACCTAGCGTACTCAACTTCTGTCATTCCCACGCACGTGGAGGTCATTTTTCAATGAAGAAGACTGTTGCAAAAATTTTGCAATATAGTTTTTATTGGCCCACTTTGTTTAAAGACACTAACAGTGCCAAAAGCTTGGTGCTTTCTCCCGGCGTAATATGATGCCCTTCCCCCATTTTAGTGATAGAAATCTTTGATTGTTGGGGTATTGACTTTATGAGACCCTTTCCACCTTCCTTTGGCTATCTGTACATCATTGTGGCTGTAGATTATGCGTCTAAATGGGTAGAAGTTGTAGCTTGTAGAGTTAATGACAATAAAACGGTTGTGAAATTCCTCAAAGAAAATGTTTTGTCTAGGTTTGGCAGACCACGAGTTAATATTAGTGACAGAGGCACACATTTTTGTAATCGTTCATTTGAGGCTTTAAT